ATTAACCTGACCTTCACCTGACAGTCAGGTGTTTGCAGGGGTTAATAAAGGGGACAGCTCCAAAGTTTTAGGATCTATTTTCCAGCTAAAACCTTTCAGGGTGTTATAGCGAAAGTACAGTTTTACTCCTTATTGGAGGGTGTGAAAAATCAGTGTCTTAAAACAATAAATTCCTTTTACTCTTCTTGAAAAGTGTATTTTGTCTTAGATATATTTCCTGTTGTTAGATATATTTCTTGTTACTAGATATATTTCTCAGATATGTTTTTATTAGATAATATCTTCGACATAAACATTAGATATCCTTTCCTCCCTCGGGACGTTCTGGGAGGCTGCAGTTGCAGATCCCCTCTGAGATAACAGCTGGCACAACACCACAAAAGCTGTGCTTTGGTGCATTAAAAGCACAGGCCAAGTGCTCTTGGCAGGGAAGACACAGGTCCTGCACCTGCCCAGGGTTCCAGGGCTGGATCCAGCTGGACACCTTTGGTGAGTGACTGGTGCTTCCCTGGGACAGCTGCTCACACGTGGGCACTCGAACCCAGGCACTATTTCCAGTTCAGCATCAAAATCTCTCCTTATGAGGCAACACAAGCTCATTATTACACTATTTGGAGATAAGATTATCTCAGTAATAAGCTCATTTCTTAATGATATGCAAAACAGATTTACAAGGATAGAGCCAAGAAAACGAGCCTCAAGATCCACCTCATCTCTTTCACACACACTCCCTTCCTCTGCCTCCTGCAATCTTCTTTTCCTACCTCAGTGGCTACAATAACAATAAATAAAATTCATAAATAAGAAGAAAGCCACAGATATTTCAAACAAGACTTAATTTCCATTATTACTTTAATTCCACGCACAGGGAAGTTTCCTGCAGGGAACTCAGGAGCTGTTGTAACAGCAGGAATATTCCTGGAAACCAAGTGCACTAATCCCTGCAGCAGAGCTTTGGGAACTCCCCCACTGCTCGGAATGTGCTGGAGTTCAGCAGAGGGTTGTCCTTTGAGCAGCCTCAGCCACAACACCCCGTAACCAGGAGATCAGACAACAAACCCACAGCACAGGGCCTGATTCCCCTTCCTCATCCACCCCCCGGCCTCACCCCTGATCTTGGCTGTAATTAAATCCCTCATAGTTTTTCTAAAGATTAACAACAATTACTGAGACTCCTCAGAGTTCTCTGATGCCATTTTCACCTGCTGTTATAAGATTAGATTCTGACCAAAGACACAACATGGGGCCAGAGCAGATAACTCAGCAGTTTGGGCTGAGGGCAGAAGGACTTGCACAACTCACTACTCAGATTTAGATTCCAGTGGCAAAAGAAGATTCCCACAGGGAATCAACTGATCTTAGAGTTGAATACACAGACATGACCCACCACTGTGCTCATGGTGTAGAAACAGAATCACAAGTTTGGGTTGGAAGGGAACTCAAAGCCCATCCTGTCCCACCCCTGCCATGGGCAGGGACACCTTCCACCAGCCCAGGTTGCTCCAAGCCCTGTCCAACCTGGCCTTGGACACTCCCAGGGATAGGGCAGCCACAGCTTCTCTGGGCAACCTGTGCCAGGGCCTCCCCACCCTCCCAGGGAATAAGAACTAAAAAAAAAAATAAAAAAAAATCAATCAGCTGAGAAAAAGCACCAACATCCCTTTGAGAAACAGCACAAGGAGATAGTTTGTCCTCAGTGCTCTCATGCACACGTTTGCAAAGTCTTAACTGAAGAACACCGGGTGCTGCCTGTAGTGCTGGCACTGACAAGAGCCGAGAGATAGCTAAACAAATAAATAAATCAATCCGGAAAAGCTACAACACTCAGCCTCTGTGTTTAGTAAAAAAGGACAAAACACAATCAAGAGACTCCATCCAAGGGAGGTGACCATTCCCCCTCAGTCGGTGCCACCACGGGACGGGGGTTCAGCCCTTCCCAGCCGGGAGGGGAGGCAGAGACCCGGCTCTGCTGTTGGACATCGCTGACAGCCTTTAACCCCCTGCTCGGCTCCGGGGGGCCCGGGCGGTGCCGGGTGCGAACACAGCGGCGGTTAAACCGCACCGACCCCGTCCTTCAACCGGCACCGAGCCCCGCAACCCGCACAGACCCCTCCTTCAACCACCGACCCCTCTGACCCGCACCGACCCCTCCTTCAACCACCGACCCCTCTGACCCGCACCGACCCCCTCCTTCAACCACCGACCCCTCTGACCGCACCGACCCCGTCCTTCAACCACCGACCCCTCTGACCCGCACCGACCCCGTCCTTCAACCACCGACCCCTCTGACCCGCACCGACCCCGTCCTTCCACCACCGACCC